TAAGCACGAAATTAAGGAACTTCCAGTTCAAATTTCTCCACAGGAGAATAGCTACAAACTCTTTTCTACTTAAAATTAAATTCTCGGAATCAAATCTTTGTTGCCTTCGTCAAACAGCACAAGAAAGGTTGCTTCATCTCTTCTGGGAAAGCCCAATCACAGAAGCCTTTTGGAATAGCGTTCAACAATTTCATCTCTGTTGATTTAATACCAGCCTCACAAGTTTTAACTTTATGCCAATGTTTAGGTCTCAAAGGAGAGAAAAGCGCCTTCTTATTCAATTATTGTTTACTACTTGGTAGATTTTACGTTTACTCTTGTAAGTACAAAAATGTTCGACCATCCTCAATAGAATACATGTACATTAATCAGGTTAGATGGAATTTAAAAATAGAAAAGCATGTCTCAATTACTACGGGAACGCAAAACGCATTCCAACAGAAGTGGCACAAAATACTCCAATCATTGTAACTCCCTGTTCTCTCCTTTGAACGTTTGTTTAAAGAGGCAGTTTAATTGAATAATATTTAGGTTCTCCTTTTCATTTGAACAGCTTTAACTTAGTATTTCATGGCCCTATATTTTTTCGCTCATCTTTACTTTCGTTAGTTGTTAGAATAGTGTATTAGTAGCAGCAGTAGTATTGTATCTGTTAGTTGTATTATTATTATTATTATTTATTTATTTATTTATTTATTTATTTATTTTTTGTCCCTATTAGTAATATCGTTGTTATTTTGGATTAACTCCTGTTAAAAAGGTTGTTATATTGTTAGTGTTGTAACCAATGTTGACTGGTACTGTAATTGGTAATTTGTAAGTAGTGATAGTGATGTGAGTAACCTAAGTTTTTGTAATAAGTAATAAAGTGTAGTATTGCAAAAAAAAAAAAGGATGGCACAGTGCAGTCAAAGCGCTCGCCTCCCACCAGTTTGGCCCAGGTTCGATTCCAGCCCGGTGCCATATGTGGGTTGAGTTTGTCATTGGTTTTCCAGGTTCTCCACTTTCCCAACGTTCCAAATTCAAATTCGACCAAGATAGTGCACCTGCATGAAAACCAGCTGAGGCTGATGTGGTTTCCACTCTAAATATTGCAATTTAGCTCACCGATACACGCGTAAGCCTTTTATCTATTAATTTTAAGGCCACATACAATTCCAAAATCGCAAATCTTATATCACCAACGGTAACAAATTAATAGGCCATATTCATATTCCTGGCACTGGACTGGAACTAGCATGGAATTGAGGCTAATACAAGGAGGCTTTTCAAATGCAAATGACATTAATTTCTTTTTAATGATATTCTTCCACAAGAGTCTACACTGCAAGCTAGTTCCAGTCAAATCCCAAGAATAGCAAATATGGCCAATTAGCAAATGAGAGGCATGGCACAAGAAGCTAACGAAAACTCCACTGTTGATCACTTATTCCCATAATGTGTCCTAACACACGTGAATATATGAAAGATCATATAGTTGAACTGTGGAGAAAGATATGAAGGCCTAATTGATCATCGCAGTTATACACAACACTTGTGCAGCTGTTAGATCAAAACCTGAAAAAAATTCAGGCTTGAACAGGACCAGCTGCTGTGTATATAACTGAGATGATTAATCAGGTCTTCAAATTGTTCCTAAGCGAAGGAACAGAACATACATGAACAAATAGTTCACTAAATACAACCAGGAAGTTGGAAACAGAGAAACTGCGACTACTAATAACTATTGCTATTCAACTTCTTCTTTTCTGAGTAGCAGAAGTGGTTGCTCAATTTCTCAGTTCTCAACAAACGGATTCTGTTAACACTCATTTAAAAAAACTTACCATGCAAAACTGTTACTAGCATCACATTTTCTGTAAGAAAGGATTTTTAAACACTATTAAGAACATTGCACAAGAATATTGTGGTCCAGTTACCCTCCTGTGAATAAACTAAGTCCCCAAGAGTTGGTCGCCAACTTGCACTAACGCTGGCCAGGAGGATAAGCAAGATGTTCTGTAACTTCACTCCATGAGTGTTCACAGTCATGGAAAATTAAAACTGGGAGCTGCTACAGGCTTTATTTCCAAGGTAGTCCCTCTCAGGTTACTGTTAGATCACTCTGGGCTTCAGACATCCAA